CTCACAGGGACACCCACACGGGGACACCCGCACAGGGACACCTGCACAGGGACACCCACACGGGGACACACTCACACGGACACCCAGTCAGGGACACCCTCACAGGGACACACTCCCGGGGACACCCTCACACAGACACCCTCCCGGGGACACCCTCACAGGGACACCCAGTCAGGGACACCCTCACAGGGACACACTCCCGGGGACACCCTCACACAGACACCCTCCCGGGGACACCCTCACAGGGACACCCAGTCAGGGACACCCTCACAGGGACACACTCCCGGGGACACCCTCACACAGACACCCTCCCGGGGACACCCTCACAGGGACACCCAGTCAGGGACACCCTCACAGGGACACACTCCCGGGGACACCCTCACACAGACACCCTCCCGGGGACACCCTCACAGGGACACCCAGTCAGGGACACCCTCACAGGGACACACTCCCGGGGACACCCTCACACAGACACCCTCCCGGGGACACCCTCACAGGGACACCCAGTCAGGGACACCCTCACAGGGACACACTCCCGGGGACACCCTCACACAGACACCCTCCCGGGGACACCCTCACAGGGACACCCAGTCAGGGACACCCTCACAGGGACACACTCCCGGGGACACCCTCACACGGACACCCTCCCGGGGACACCTGCACAGGGACACGCAGTCGGAGACACCCTCCCAGGGACACCCTCCCAGGGTGCCTGAGTGCATCATGTGGGCAGCCTAAACCCCTGGGCAAGTCCCACCTGGCACAGGAGCCAGGGAGCTCCCAGCTGATGGGGAATGAGGGGACTGGGCAGGGGTTGTGGGGCATCGCTCTGCCCTGTTCCCACTCTGGGCTTGTGCAAGCTGAGCCCTGCTGAGTCTGGCCAGGGCCATTGACATGATAATACTATTAAACCTCAGCAATTTGAACAACAATCACCCAACAAAAGCCTCAGGGGAGATGCTGGATATATCTGGGGCGGATGGGGGGTTGTGGATTCTGGGAACCCCAGGGAATCCCCAGGCAGCTTCCCAGTGTACTGACTCATCTCAGCAGGTTTTGCTACCTGCTCAGGGCCACCACACACCACCAACCCTCTTCCAGCCCTCAGGGTGGGATTGTCCCCGTAGGATTAGTCCTGGGACCTTGGGTGCGACAGCCCCTCCTTTTCCTCTGCCCCTTCCCATGGAGAAGCTCTGGTGTTTCTCTTGTCCTTCCCAGAGACCACAGAGCAGGACATATGTCTGCCATACCTTATGCCTCTCTGATATTCCTCTAACCTGTGTTACTGGCCATGGAAACAGGAGCTGTGGTGCTCTGGGGACATCAGAATGGAGCTCATAGCGCTGGAGAACAGCAAACACTCCTGGGTTAGGGTGTCCTGGGCTGCACCTGTCACAGCAGGTGGAGGCAGGGGGGACTCTTCCAGCGTGTGCTGGGCCCAGGGCTGGGCTGCCCAGTGCAGGAGACAGGGACAGACTGGAGAGAGCCCAGTGAAGGGCTGTGGAGGTGATGGAGGGACTGGAGCATCTCTGCCATGAGGAGAGGCTGAGAGAGCTGGGACTGCCCAGCCTGGAGCAGTGCAGGCTCAGGGGATCTCATCTGTGTAGATAAACACCCAGAGGGAGGGTGCAGAGAGGATGGAGCCAGGCTCTGCCCAGTGGTGCTAAGGGACAGGCTCAGTGGGCATGGGCACAAACTGACACGCAGGAGATCCCTCCAAGCATCAGGAAACACTTTTGCATTGTGAGCAGCTCCTCTAGAATGACCCAAAAGAGCTTATTTGCTCAACTTGATGTCCTCCTGCCCCAAGCAAACACTTCTGAAATTAAATGTCTTGTTTTATTTTGGTGCTTTTTAATACCTTGAAACGGGTCAGGTCAGGTCAACCTGCTGCCCACGCTGCTTCCAATGCAGCCCAGGACACAGGTCGTTTCAGGGCTGTCAGGGCAGATTGCCAGGTCACATCCCATTTGTCACCCAGCAGCACCCCCAAGACCTTCTCCCCAGGGCTGCTCTCAACCCACCCAGCCCCCAGCCCGTGCTGGTGCTGGGGGTCGCCCTGACCCAGAGGCAGGACCTTGCACTTGGCCTGGCTGAACTTCATGAGGCTCACAAGAGCCCAAATAATTTGGGGATTTCATAGAATCAGCAAATCCCAGAACAGTTCGGGTTGGGAGGACCTTAAAACTCATCTCATTCCACCCCCTGCCATGGGCAGGGACACCATCCACTAGACCTGTTTGCTCCAAGCCCTGTCCAACCTGGCCTGGAACACTTCCAGGGTTGGCACAGCCACAGCTTCTCTGGGCAACCTGTGCCAGTGGAAACAGATTTATTTACTCTTCCCATATGTACCTCAAGTGTCCCGTAACAAATTTCCTCTGTTCTGCTGCCTCAGGGATGAAGGATGCTCTGTCCTGAGAGTCCCACAGTGTCACCATGGCTGTGCCAGTGAAGAGGCAGCTCACACTCAGTAGCTTCAGCAGCTGCTTGATGTAACACTTCTGATAGCCCCACACTGGAGCCTGTGGCAGCTCCCAGCTGGAGCCAGTGGAGTGCCCACAGCTGGGACAGCCACAGGTCCACCCCAGTCCCAGCACTGCAAGGACCTGAGCTGATCATGCAAGGTGATCTCTTGAGGTCAGTGGGGCTAAACATCACTCCTGGATGCAGCTGCCCCCAGAAGACAGACTGCCCACAGCTCCAGCATCAGCCCATTACCCCAAAGTGACATCTGTGTGACATTTGCTTTGCTGAGTGTCCCAGTGAAGGAGGTTTTATACATCATCCTGCCCCCCACAGCAGCCTTCAGACCTGGGAACTTGCTCTGGAAGTGGGAGAACTGCAGGTTTTCCCTGGCACAGCAGGGAATTAGGAAAGAAGCTTGGCATCTGTGAGGCTGGAGGTGCATGGGCCTGACCGTGGGGAGCTCCCTGGCAGAGTGTGAGTTTGGCCCGTCATGTCTATCCCTGACAACTTAGTTCCTTCTTCCTGATGTTGGCAGTGCCTGTGAAATTGAAGCACTGAGACCAAGGAGAAGTTCTTCAGTCATGGCTCATCTCCCAAGGTGAGAACATCACCTGTGGCCTGACAGGTCTCTGACATCTCTGACCCCAGCAACATGTCCCCATGGAGCAGCCACAGAACCCATCCAAGCTTTCCCACTGCTGGTGGCATCTCCACCATGCCCTGTGGCCTCACCAGGTTGTGTGGGTTGTCATCACACTTCCCTCCATTCGAAATAAAGAATTGCAGGACACATCCCTCGAGGGCAGGGAGATGGGCTGACTTCAAGCAGCACTTAAGACAGCAACTTTGCAAGGCGGGAGCCCCCTGCACTCCCACACCCTTGTCAGGGTGGTGATAAATAACCAACCAAGGGGACAAACCCCCTCCCCATTTCTTACCCTTTCTGTCTCTCGCCCCTTCCTCCCCCCAACCTGCTCAGGGTGACACAAAAGGGTAGCCAGGCCCCTGGGACCCTGAACCAGTTGATGGTGGGAGCAAGGCTATCACCTTGCCAAGCGTCTGTCAGCTCAGCCTGACGCAGGAGCCAAGCAGAGCCATCCTGATCCCACCAGCAAAGGCAGAAAACGATGCTCAAGCTGATTTTACGCAGATGTGGAGCAATTTGGCTTCAACAACAGGCTGCCCCACTGGAAGGGGTCCTGGCTGACAGTGGCAACGAGGTGGGGAGGTGCAGTGCCCAAACACACCCTCCAGGCCCAATGGGCAGCAACACTGGCCACAGAGCCACACACAGCACATCTCTGTATCACACCCGACAGGCTTTATATGCTGCTTCCCGAATCCCTCAGATCTCAGGCTCTAAAGCCGTAAAACAGCCAGGGAGGAGGAACAAAGTGGGGGTTCTTTCCTGAAGGAGGAGAGTGTGGGAGGAGTGGGGAGAGATGCTTTCCCTCTGTGCTAGAGCCTCGAGATGGGGCTCGCTCAGGCTCCAGCCAGCCCAAATCCCCGCAGGCCAGCGGGGGATGCTCACCCTGGCCCCAGGGACCAGTGGCATGGTAGCTTCGAAGGGGTCAGTGGCTGCTGGGGGGGTCACAGCCAGGCTGGGGGGCCCAGCAGGTGAGCCTGTGGGTGGGAGAGGTATTGGGGGGGAGGGCTGCGGCTGCTGTCTGGCACACAGCAGCACAGTGACAGGAGTGTGTCCCCTCCAAGCGTGTCCTGATGCGGGGTGCTGGTCCTGGGGGTGTTTCCTGTGGGGGGAGCCTGCTGTGAGGAAGCAAGAGGGGCTGAGGGGCAGGGGGTGTGCACAGGAGGAGGCAGAAGGGTGAATAGCCCTGGGCTCTAATCGTCCTTGTCCTTGGCCCCGTGCTTCAGGATGCGAGTGAACTCCACATAGTTGAAGTTGCCTTTCTTGTCGATGGGAGCCTCCCTGTACATCTCATCCACCTCCTCGTCAGTGAACCTGTCCCCCATGGTGGTCAGCAGCTCACGCAGGTGGTCCTCATGGATGAAGCCTGCAGGGAGGGCAGGGCATGGCATTAAGAGCGGACAGTGGGAGGGTTGAGCAGTAGCACCTTCCCCACCTCTCCTGAAGACTGTCCTGCCCAGCTCTCCCACTCTGGAGCTGCTTGAGCACTGTCCCCGGGGATTTGGCCCCAGGCCTGTGCTGGCTGCATGCCTGAGGGGCTGTGTGGGGGGCTGTGCTGTACCTGATGCCTCCTCATCAAAGCAGGCGAAGGCATTGCGGATGACGTCCTCAGGGTCGGTGCCATTCAGCTTCTCCCCAAACATGGTGAGGAACATGGTGAAGTTGATGGGCCCTGGTGCTTCGCTCATCATGCCCTCCAGGTACTCATCAGTGGGGTTCTTCCCTGAGGGACACAGGCAGAGATGTGAGTGCAGGGCCCTGGCCCCTCCACTCCCACCCATGCACACAGCTGGATGGGGCTTTGCTTCATTGCAAATGAGTTTGCTGGCTCATGCTCACCCACTCCACCAACACGGGGAGGAGCTTTCACAGTGCCCAGTGCTCCCTCTCTCAGCATCTCTCCCCATGCTTTAATCCATACTTGGAACCAAGCTCTGCCAGGCTCAGCCTTGGGGGAGATGCAGTAATTAATTTGGGGGTTACCAGGAACAAACCCACAGCTTTTCCCATTCCCCTGGCAGCTGACACCCAGCTCCCCCAAGGAGAGGGGCAGCAGTATCCGCACACGAGCCTTGTGCTGCTGATGTCCCCAGCACTCTTCCACCATGGGTGCACCAGGGATGGTTTAACCTCCTCTGCTGAGGTCTGTGCCCCCAGCACTGGCCCCTCTCTGCTCCCGGAGCTCAGCTCACCAGGAGGAGGGAGATCCCTCCCACGGCCAGGCAGGACCTCCAGAACAGGTTTGGCTGCCAGGTCAATCATTGACAGACCTCCCAGAGTGTAATGGAGGTACTGCTGGGAGAGGGAGGAGGCAGTCATGGTCTGCAGCAAAAGAGAACAGGCTCTGGGCGGGGAGTGGGGACAGACCTGCAAGTCTCAACCAGTCAAGGTATCACACCAGCATTGGGACCAGCCTTTGTCACCATGGCTGAGAGTAACGGGAGGGCTTTGTTCCATGGGGAACAACTCCAGGTGACATTCGGGGGTGAGACTATTCAAATACTCCATGGCTGCAGCTCGTGGTTGCTCCCAGGGCAGAGCTTCTCCAGCCCCAAGGGTCTCTTCCCTTCTGGTGAGCACAGCTGTAAGAGCAACACACTGAGCTACTGCCCTGGGATGCCTCACAAACACACCTTCTGTGGTCAGTTGGTGCCAGCAGAGAAATTTCCCCAGGTTTTAAGGCATCCCACCACAGCTGATCTCCAGCACTGGGGAGGTCACCCAGCAGCTGTCCCCACTCCTGAGGAGGTGCTGGGGTAGAGGGGCCATGGGATGGGGTCTGCTCACCCAGGGAAGCCAACATGTCATGCAGATCCTCCTTGTCGATGAAGCCGTCGCGGTTCTGGTCGATCATGTTGAAGGCTTCCTTGAACTCCTGGATCTGCGACTGGTCAAACATGGCGAAGACATTGGAGGTGGCGCGCTGGGGGCGCTTCTTGGTGGTCTTGGCTTTGGCACGTTTGCTGGACATCTTGTCGGCTGTGGTGGTACCTGGGGGCAGGAGCAGAGGGTTGGGGACAGGCAGAGCCAGGGGAGGGGGCAGAGCAGGGGCAGGGACACAGCTCCTGGCACCTCCAGTCCTGTGCCTTGGTTTCCCTGGGCATCACTCAGTTTGGCAACTGGGAGATAAGGCAGTTGCAGGGCTGGAAGTGGGGACAGGCAAGACTTGGGCTCTGATGAGTCCCCTGAGCAGGCAGTGCTCACTGCACCCCTCCCCAAGGGCTGTCCCCCAAGGGCTGCAGGCAGCCCCCAAACCTGCTTGCTGTGTGTCTCCTCCGCATCCCAGGCACAGGGAGAGATGCCCAGCGCAGCACCCAGCTGGGTGCCAGTCCCAGGGGCCGTGGGGGTGGGTGACTTGGCATTTTGGGCAGTGTAGCCATGCCCCCCCAGGCTCCCCTCTCTCTGGCAGGGCTCTCCTAGGACCCAGCCCGGGTCAGTGGGTTTCCCTTGCACCCTCCATGTCGAAGCGCAGGAGCAGCCCCAGCACCCAGCACCCAGCGGGAAGGGGTTATCTACTTCGGGCACATTCCTCACATACCACTGCTTCCCATCCCCCTCCATCTATCCGTCCATCCATCCCACCTCCTGCCGGGTCAAAGGCCGCTTGCTGCTGCCCTCCCTGCCCGGGGAGCCCAGGGGAAGGGCCGCGAAGCAAAGGGGAGAGGGGACCATTGCCCTCGGGGGGCTGTAGAGCCCCTGTGGGGCAGAGGAGAGTGTCCAAGCGGCACCAGGACTGTGAGGTGCAAAGGACTGGTGTTGTTACAGGCAGTGAATGCCAGGAGAAGGAGAGAGCCTGCGGTGGGGGGCAGCTGTGAGATGGACAGACCTCTGGGGACACAGCTGGGGCAATGTGTGTCCCATAGGGAATGGCAGAGGGACCATGCAGGCCCCAAGCACCACCAAGGCAGGACCAAGTCAGGAAATCCAGACTGGGGATTCCTTCCCCCAGCAGAGCTGGGCTGGGGCACAGAGCCCACTCCCACCCTGGGATAGCACTCAGACCCCTTCACAGCCTCCAGGCAAGGGCTGGGGATATCCCCATGCTGCCAGGCTGAGGGATGCAGTCAGTGTTGAGGACACTGCACTGTGGGTGCTGGGGACACAAATGGGGTCTGGATGGGTGCTCAGCACTGCCAACCACCACCAGTGCTGCCTGAGAGGAGGATGCTCAGGCTGCTCCCAGGGGAATCCTACCAGCAGGATGCCAGCAAAGCCCAGCTTGGCAGAGGGACAGTCCCGTGGGACAGGCTGGCCCGAGGTCAGCCCAGGGTAGGACACTGCTCAGAGCCCTCGTGTTTCTGTCCCACATAGCTCCTCCAGCACTCCCCACACCATACCCTCTTTTCAGCTCTTACCATCCTCTCCTGCTAACCCCTATTTCAAGGGGTAGCAGAGGCAGGGGCTGTGGCAACCACCAGCCTGGTCCCCAGCCTGCTGTGGTCCCCAGGCTTCCCTAGTTGGGCTGTGCTGGGGGCAGCAGGCAGTGCCAAATCTCAGCTGACACCATGGTCACCAGCCAAGCTCAGAGCAAGCTGAGGACTTTCCCTGCACCCCAACACCCTCTCCCACCTCACTGTGGGAGCATCCACCAAGCCTAAGCAGGGCCTTCATCTGCATGGGACATGCCCCATGTCCTCAGGAGACACACCCTGCCTGGGATGGAATCCACACGGCCCTCAGCCTCTCCCTTGCACTGCACCCAGCACCTGACAGTAGCCATCAATCACCCCACCATCCCCTAACCCTCCATCCTTTATCGGTGCCCACCAGGGAAGGGACATTTGCCACCAGCCAGCCCAGGACTGGGGAGCTCAGCTGTGCCCAGCCAAGGGGAGCAGCAGGACTGGGGTGCTCAGCTGTGCCCACACTGGATGGGCAGGAGACCTCACCCCCCAAAACCCGTAACTGTCCGCTGCTTCCTCCAGCACTACTGCACAATGAAGCTCTTTGCAGAAGGACAACCTCTCTCTGCATGCCCTGCCAGGCACCACAGTGTGCAAGTGACATCCCCAGGCAGCGTGTGCTGGTCACATCCCATGGCAGCAGCGTGGGGAAGCTCAGTTCCACACCACAACTCCACCAGGCCAAGTCAGAGCCAGCAATACAGTCTCTGCCACTGGCCCACAGCACTGGGCTCAGCTTTCAAAACACACCAAATTATTAGCAGAATTACTAGCAGAAGATTAGAGACATAAGCAGGAGTTTTGTTCTCACCACATGAATTAATATTATCCAAATATTTACCCTGTCCCAGCTATGACTAACAGCAATACAGCTTGGCACCCTCCCCAGAGGGACAGTGCTCCTTAAGGGGATTAAGTATGATTTGGACAGCACCATAGATCTGCTGTTTGATCCAAAATATGCCCTGGAAAGATGCTCACTCCCAAGGTCCAGCTCAGCTATTCTATCTCTGCTGTTAGAGAGCCTCCTTGGGCCAGCTGGGACTTGGGAAGAGACTTTTTTGGGTCAGTGTGGGGAAAGGTTTGTGTGCATCAGACGCAAGGGATCTGCAGCAAGGACTGATTTGGCTGGGGTGGTCCCTGCTTTGCACAAGGGTGTGACAGCTACGCTCCCCTGGTGCTTGAGGCCATGCTTCCTGGGATTCCCAAACACCCTGTGCCCAGGGAACACACAGCCATGATGCCCTGCATGTTAGGGTGGACTTGGCTAAGACAAACGGTGCAGCCACCAAGCCTCCAGCTTCCTCCTTGGTAAAAGGGAAACCCATTGAGACTGGTCCTTCTCCTGCCACCCTGTGCTGAAAGTCCCATCCCACAGGTGCTCCAGCCCAGGAGCTGCAGATCTCAGCCAAGGAGGTCAGTGCTCGGGTGACACCATGACAGCCACATGCTGACCTGATCACCAACTCGCCCTGTCACCAGCTGCCTTAATCCCTTGTCCTTCTGCCACTGCTCCTGCCAGGACGATCTCCCAGCCTCCTGCGCCACAAGGCTTGTGCCACCTCCACCTAGAAGCTACGCCCAAGGGACCACAGGGCTGGCTTAAAGAGTTCATAAGTTAGTAAATAGTTTAGTTTTCCAGAGAAAGAGGAAAAGACCCACAGTTATCAGAAATATAAACTACCATGTGTTTCCTCTTTGGTAAAAACCAAACTAGCAGCTCCATCCTGGTGCTGCTTCCTGGCTATGCTGGGGAGGGTGGGACAAGCCAAAGGGCCATGGCAGTGCTGCCAGTGCAGGCAGCCTTGTCCCATATCCATCTTCCTCCCTCCTGCCTTCTCCCCTTCCCTGCAGCTCCTCCTGTGCTGGTCCAGCTCACTATCCCTGCTGGAAGACAAAGGAGTGGGAACTTGCTGCTGGGCTGATCAGGCTGTGGCGCGCTGGGTGGCACAAAGGAGGGCAGGGAGAGGACAGGGCTGCTCCCCTGGCAGCAGCAGCAGCCCCTGTGGTGTGCACATGTATTCAGAAGCTATGATCTCCAGGGACATGCTGCTAAGGGTTTGCCAAGAGTGGCTCCTCCAAAGCTGTCATGCAACCGCAGGACCAGCAAGGCTGCCCTGCCACTCCCAGCACAGCTGGGCAGGGACAGCATCCACTCCAGCCAGCTCCTCTGTGCCACCACATCCCGGCAGCCAGAGGCATGATGTGCATCTGCTGGATGCTTTGGGTCAGGGTAG